AGTGAAGTTAAGATTTTTGAAAATAAACCTGAGACTTGGCAGGGTGTAAAAAAATAGTCATGTTCCCACTCAGATTTGAACGCGGGCCGCCAGTTGGCCATCGCTGCTCTAGATTATCAGTTAATCAGGGTGACCTTTCCCCCACTTAATCTGGATTTGCTTATACACACACACACATACAAACAAAGGTGAAGAGCAATTTGCTGAATCAGATTCATCCATGAGTTCAGTGGGAGGGGAAGTGGAAGCAGATGGGAGACCACAGCATGAATAGTGATAAGCATCAAGCTTCGTTAGCGCAAAAATAACTTCTTACTTCTGTCTCTTTAATATCTGGGAAGGGGGCAGGAGTTTCCAATGGAGGCAACAAAAGTGAAAAGTATCAGATAAATACATATATAAAGCACAGCGTGGCATTACTCAAGACCGGCTGCAGCGGCCTGTACCAAATTAACAACATAAGCAACAATCACATTCAAATTTAAGAGAGAGACAGTTAACTGTCCTACATAAAAATAATGAGATGGAATTATGACTCACTTGCTCATTCCATGCAACTGATGTTACAGAGTGGCCACTTTCAGATAACTTACACAACACTGCGACTTGCTCAGTGTGGGAAGACCAAATATATGCACGGCTTCCTAAGCCCACACCCAATATATTTTGTGATTACCAGTCCATAAGATTAACGTACAAATCATTCCGCTAACATAGGGGCATACAACACCTGCATGAAAAAGAAGTATATTTCTCCGTTGCGCAACATGTCACAATATGTTCATGAAGGGAGTTGATAGAGCCGATCAGTACTTGGCCTATTATTCTCTTCCTCGGAAAACAGTAAAGTGGACAAAGAAAGTTGCCTTGTGGCTTATAAATTGTGCCATTTTCAATTCATTTTTGGTTTTCAAAAATCTAAACCCTCATTCAAAATTGAAATACAAGACATTTCTGCTGAATGTGGCAAAAGCCTGGGCTACAGTCCAGATGGTGGCGGCAGAACCAGGGTCACATAAAGACTTAGTACGACCGAGACCATCAACTCCCACCCCACGCAGGCCTCATGTGGACCCGCCAGGGCGACTCTCGAGTGATATGTGGAAAAATACCCTCTTGAAAATTGTGAAGACTGAACATTCCAAGAGGAAGCATCCTTCTATGCAATGTCATGTTTGTGCAGTTCACAGAAAAAGGAGTATGACTGCCTACATTTGCAAGTTCTGTGTAATGCCTCTTCACAAAGGGGAATGTTTCCCGAAATATCACACTCTCAAGCACTTCTAGGAGCACTGGTAAGTGTTCTCCAAAAATTTTAGTCCATAAAATTAATTAGGAGATTTTGTATTATTTTTTAAAGTGAACAGTGCACAAGTTAGGGTACTAGGTTTAAAAATGCCAGTCCCCATGGTGATTTAAATATTTAAATTTCCGGTTCTCAATGTATTAACAACAGAGGTAACATTATTACAATTACCTTGAAGGGTAGTGAAGATATTTTTTGTGTTATTTTCCTTGCAGATCTCAGTAATCTCAAGCTTTTGGAACTAATGGCTGATAAAGAATACGAAGCAGATGTCTCATCACCAGAGCCATTTCCACTGCTTTATGCCAACATGTACTGCAAGAACAAATGAATGAATCATTAGTAACGACACTGTATCTACTTAAAACACACACAGTAATAAATATATCCAATAAACCTTATTTAAAAAAAACTAGCCATACCTACATCAAGGATTCAACAAGTAGAAATATGTTTGACAGTTCCATCTTCTGGGATATAACAACACCATGCAGTTGTGAAAGTCAACAGACATTTTGGAGGAACATATCACCTCTATGATCATGGTCAAAGAGTAAGCACACCTTCATGCATACTCCATGATGCTTACTTGCTTGGCTTTCATTCCAATATACAGCACTACATCCAAGACAATAAAACTCTTCAAGCAACAATATATCGAAATAAATAAACATCACTATTGTTGCCTCAACTATATATACGTGGGGCAATCCAAAAGTTACCGAAATTTGAATTTTCCGCACGAATGGTTATGAGCACATCGAAATACCGCTAGGTGTCTCCTCACACATCCTTCTTGAATCAGTGTGGCAAGCGGCGTCGAGTTGAGTGGTTGGATTTATTGTTGGTGAACGTATTTCCATTGTTGTGTTTCCGTGAGTTTGCAGTTTTGCGATGGCTGACCTGAGAGAGCAGCGTGTCTGTATAAAGTTTTGTTTCAAACTTCGGAAAACTGCTGCAGAAATGCACCAAATGTTGAAGCAAGCTTTTGGTGAAAACTGTTTAGGCCAGACACAAACTTACAACTGGTATAAGCGTTTTAAAAATGGCCGAACATTGACTGATGACGACGATCGTTCGGGACGGCCATCAACAGGCAAAATACCAGAAAATGTTGCGAAAGTTAGTGATTTCATTCTGCAAGATCGTAGACTGACCATCCAAGACCTCTGTAACACATTGGGACCAAGTTATGGTACATGTCAACGAATTTTGTCAGAGGAACTGAACATGAGGAGGATTGCGGTGAAGTTTGTGCCATGACTGCTGCAAAATGAACAGAAGCAGCATCGCTTGAAAGTCTGCAGGGAACTTGAACAACAGCTTCAAGAGGATCCAAACTTTCTTTCGAAGGTTGCCACTGGTGATGAAAGTTGGGTTTATGGCTATGACCCTGAAAGCTAGCAGCAATCGTCACAATGGAAAAGACCTTCTTCACCTTGGCCAGAAAAAGCTCGACAAGTCAAGAGCAACATTAAGTCCATGATGATCTTTTTTTTTTATATTGACGGGATTGTTCATAAGGAGTTTGTCCCTCTGGTCAGTCAATAAAGAGTTCTATCGCGATGTTCTAAGGCGTTTGAGGGAGGACATGACGAGAAAACGTCCAGAGAAGTGGCGCACAAACGACTGGGTACTCCACCATGAAAACGCACGACCGCATACGGCTTACACTGTGCAGGAATTTTTGGCTAAAAGCAAGATGCCAGTTGTTCCCCACCCACCATATTCACCAGACTTAGCTCCATGCGACTTCTTTCTCTTCCCCAAGATGAAAATCAAGTTGAAGGGGTGAAGATTTGATATAGTTGAGGAAATTCAAGCGGAAACGCAAACGGTACTAAACACCCTAACAAAAAAGACTTCCACGATGCATTTGAAAAGTGGCAGAAACGCTGGGTTCGGTGTATGTGCTCCCAAGTGGACTACTTTGAAGGTGATGGTGCTGAATAAGATCTAGGTAAGGTGTAATAGTTTTTAGTAATATATTTCGGGAACTTTTGTATTGCACCACGTACCAATGGAAAACTTCTGTACCTGAAACAGATTTCTTTCATTCAGTGGGACCAATGCCTCTCTCTCATCATGCTGGACTCTGCCATCTTCAGTGCCAGCACCAAGCAGTTCATTCTTCAGAAGACGTGAGTATGTTGAGCCATTGCAATTTCAGTGACCATTCTCAGTAGCCTCTCTTGTTAGTCCGCTCTGGCCATCCTCCTAAAATTAAAATCACAGCAATTTCAAACACATTTCCTCAATATCCAGCAGTAAGATGGATCCACACAAATTATAAATAAAAGGAAAGATAGCAAATTTCAAATAAAAATCTCAAAAGAAACGAAATATATGAGTACATCATAACAGCAAGTTCTAAATGGTGGTGCAGTGATATAGCTGCTTCAAAACTCAAAGATATTAAATAAGAGACTGCATAAATGGAATGTAGGGATAACACACAGCAGTTCTATGGGTAAGGATAGGATTGTGAGACAGCCATGATTCTTTAAACAAAAGGGGAGGGGGGGGGGGTTCTTCAAAGTATAAATGAAGAGAAACTGTACAAGAGAGTTCCTTACTGGGTTCAATTTCTTCCCATTCATTTCTGTTCAAGAGCAGTCTTAATATCAGAGATTTGTTAAAATAACCTTTAACTGGATCCCCTATCTCTCTGTCAACATATAATTACACTCCATTAGTTAGTTATTGGAGAGGGTGGGTTTCCCCATGCACTTAGACCAGTATTGGTCCATTGTGCTTCCCTCTATGATATTCTACCAGTCTCTATACCCTACCGATACTGGTGCCTCCCATCAGTCCCGCCAAGCCAGCGAGTTCGGCCTCCACTAGCTTGGCGGTGTCTATAATGCTTCCCCCATCTAGCATATGTCTTAGAGACTACTGTTGGGCGGGAAACGTCCTTGAATTTGGCTCAGTGATCTCCTTTGGAGATACTAGGTTCTTTTACGTGGCATAAAGCTACGACATGGAACACACAGCTTAAAGTCCCTCTCGGAGGAATTGTTCCCTTTTGTGTGTTCCCACACAGAGACTACTGCCATTCTCACACACTCTCTAGGCCTGTGACTTTCATACAACCATATACAATTATCATGATCCATTATCATCAGCTGCAAGGTGAGCATCAGGCCCATTCCATCTCAGAACTAATTCTCCTTACTTATTCAGGATTACCTGGTGTCTCTACATCCNCTATAACCAGTTCGGAGGAATTGTTCCCTTTTGTGTGTTCCCACACAGAGACTACTGCCATTCTCACACACTCTCTAGGCCTGTGACTTTCATACAACCATATACAATTATCATGATCCATTATCATCAGCTGCAAGGTGAGCATCAGGCCCATTCCATCTCAGAACTAATTCTCCTTACTTATTCAGGATTACCTGGTGTCTCTACATCCTTGCAGGCTTACACTGCATAATTCTTCAGGTTATCTTATTGTGTTTCACTCATAGAAAATGTTCACACCATTGATGTTTGTATTCTTGAATTCCTCCCTCTAAATTGAACTTCCCAGCCACGTGCATAGTCATGATCACAAAAGCTATGTCCACATACTCACAGAAATTTCACTGCTTCAACCCATCTTCTATCACTGATATTTAGTGTTCAACTTCTGAACCCAGAAACATGAGAATTGTCAAGTCTTGGTCATAACTACGTGACACAAGTAGTTAAAATGTACTCTCTATTCGATTACAATATGCCTCTTATCATAATTTTCAATTGCAATTACACAATATGATCACAAGTTATAATAAAAGAGATTATAATTGAATAATTGCCCCAGAAGTCATTATTTTTGTTTTCTTTGGACAGGGTGGCTCACCACATCTTAGAACCAGTGTCAGTTTCCAACAGCTTAAGAAACTGACAGTTATCATTTTCACTCCTCAGAAGGAAGTTCTCATCAGGAAAAAGGCCTTTAAATAAACAGCAGCAACACTGCTAGTGACACAACAATCCTGATTTGTGGCATGGATAAACAGAGCCCATGTTATCCACCAGATAGGGTGCATGCATCACTGGGGTGCTCCTTTTGTTGAAGTTTTTCTTTTGGCAGAATGAAATATTAAAGTGGTGTACTAGGGACAAACAGCATAGTGGTCACCCCATATCAGCAGCAGAGCAACACCACATTGCTCACCTACAGAAACTGCTGGTAGACCACAAGAACTGATCATGCCAGGAACTTACCAGTCACACAGACATTAATCCCCAAACATAATGCAAAATTTATTCTATCCATAAGTAATCCAACATTTTTGTGAACTCAATTTACTCAAACAAAATAATACAGGAGTCTCAAATATCATTGAAATACGTCTCTGCAATTATAAACCAGACATCATTAGAATCTCAAATTTCCCAGTCAAATAAGAAAAATGCAAATCTTTCCAATGAAGTTCTCAGAACATGGCACAAATTTCAGTTCTTTTCAGAAACTCGTATGAAAACAAAACTGTAAAACTTATAATTGTCCTATCATGGATGAAAAATGTGCAATGAAGAGAACAGAAAATAAATTTATGAGGAAGAGTTAAAGAATGAACGATGTATAGGGCTTGACTTGTCATGTATCATGTACAGTGATCTGCAGTGACGAGGAGGATCAATCAATCAATCAATATTATATTGTCATATTATTTCTATATTATTATATACTTATTATTATTTAGTATTAGTATTAATATTAATCTTTGACTTGTCCCATATCATGTATAATGATCCATGGATGAAATAAAATTGAATTGAATTGAATTGAATAGGACTTTGAGAATCAGAATATTTATACCAAGACAGACACAGATAATTTATTAAAAAATACCACCATGTTTTCTTTCAACAGTGAAGATATGTAGCATAAGTCTTCACATAAAGACAAACATTATACTCAGGGACAAGTTCAATTAGAGGCTTAGACTTTAATTATGGTTGAAGAGAGGTTAGAACCTGTGATCACACAAAATCTTTCAGTAAGGATATGCTATACATATGTAAGTTTAAACATTTATTTTAACACACACTTAACTATGTGTCTTTGCCAGAAGCAGTGCTTATATCAAAACATATCACCACTGGAGATCATGGGCTCATTAACCATTCACCTCTAAGCCTACCACATGTGATTCCTCATGTCAGACCATAATGCACCATAGGGATCACATGGCCTGAATACATGCCTATATAGAGGCCTACCTTGTGGGTTACAATTTTATTGTTCTAGCTTGGGTGAGTGAAATGCGGATAACTTTCCATAATGTGTCCAACTGAAAACTTTTTTGTCCCTTTGCTCATGCTGGATGCAATGTTGGGTGGGCAGAGAGTTGTTCTGGACATGTTAATGCAGTGAAAATTCAGGCCACCTCTGGATTTTGAACCTTTGCCACAGTTCACAGCAAGTCACTTTACTGGCCCAGCTGCCATGGTCATAAGTAAACATTTACTCACATATGATACTAAAACAAGTTCCACTTGCTTTTTTCTTTTTTTTCCCTTTCTTCTTCTTTT